CCAGTCTGCTGGGACTTCTCCTGTTCTCCAGAAGTTTTCAAAGATTATCACCAGTTGCTCTGAGGTTACATTTGCCAGTTCTTTTAATATCCTTGTATGTAGTTCATCTGGTCCTGGAAATTAATTTAGGTTAACCAGGTATTCCTGTGCTTCCTCTTTACCTATTCTGTGCTGTATTTCCCCTATTGTGTCCTCTGCTCCATTTTCCTCAGGTTGAACACCCTTTTCCTTTTGTGAGAAGACTGTGGCAAAGAAGGTGTTGAGTAGTTCTGCCTTTTCTCTGTCCCCTGTTAGAATTTCTCCATCTTCTCTGTGCAGTGGAAATGAAATTGTCTTCGATGCAAGTGAGGAATTTGCTAGACATTGAAGTATTGGCTGAGTTTGACTTCCAGCAAATGTCAGGGTAGTTGAAGTCGCCCATCATTACTACATCTCTCCTTTCTGAGTGTGTGGTCATCTGTTCTAGAAAGGCATCATCCAATTCCTCAGTCTGACTTGAGGGTCTGTAGTAGACTCCCACTATAACATCCCTGTTGTTTCCTTCCCCTTTAATTTTTATCCAGATGCTCTCCACCTGATTTCCAGGATTTGAGTTCTGGATCTCTTAACAGATGTAAACATTCCTGACATATAATGCTATTACTCCTCCTTTCCTGTTTGGTTTATTTCTCTTTAAAAGGTTATACCCATTTATTCCTACATTCCAATCATGAGACTCATCCCACCAGGTTTCAGTGATGCCTATTATATCATACTTGCTTTGTTGTGCCAGGAGTTCAAGTTCATCTTGTTTATTTCCCTTGCTCTGTGCATTAGTGTAGTGTGCAAGAGTGCCTGATGCCAATTTGGATGCCTGATGTGCATTGTAGGCCTGATACACATTGAGGACCATAATGCATCTGTTCCAATTTACTTCAGTCCTGTTGAGCATTGGTCTTTTTGCTGGCTCTGCTATGTAGATACATAACAGCAGCCTTCTACGGCAGGGATACGCAACCTTTCCCCTTTAAGGGCCGAGGGACTTCAGCTCCCAGAATCCCAGGAGCTATTGGCCAACATGGGACTATTGGCCAACATGGCTGAGGCTTCTGGGAGCTGAAGTTCCTCGGCCCTTAAAGGGGAAAGGTTGCCTACCCCTGTTCTACAGAATATGGAAATTGCTTATATTTGCAGTTCTGTTTCCTGAAAATGCATGCTCTGCAACACCAGAACAGGATTCTGGCCAATGCTTTTCTTTATTCTGTTGTAAGACATCTTGAGTTCCAAACTGGGGGGGAAAAGGTGGGATGAAATAATATTAACAATAATAGAACCCCAGAGGTGTGCATAAGACTATAATTAATTTCAGCATGAAGAGAGAGGGGGGGGGGAGAAAGAAAATACACTTTCTCCATGCAGAGATGTATCTCCCCCCCATATCTCACTCAGGGTAAACAGCCATCCTTCTTTTCAACATGTCCTACATTTCAACCTACTATCCAGGAGGAATGCCAAAATGTCCTCCATTTTGAGCATGACTAAGTCCACTCAGTAAACACCATGTTTACTACTCCTCTGAGAAATTTGTCTACTTGGAAGCTTGTCCTTACTGTAAATAGCGGGGTGGGATGTATCCTTCTGAAGTTCTTTTTTCCTAGGAGCATAGCAGACAAGACTCGCATCCAGAGCTCAGGGTGCATTTATTTCTCAAAGGGGAAAGGATAGCAAATATGTTAGGCAATGGGCTACTTGAGAATACAATGGAAAAGCTGAAAGGGCTTTCCCCTTAATTTCAACATGATGGAGAAAGAAAAAGAATAAATGCAGTTTCAGACAAAGGATTGTCACTAATAAAGTACAATTTTAAGCCTTTGTCTTGCTCTGAGTTCTATGAGTATATAGCAAGCCAACAAGGCATTTTTATGAAGATAAATTCATCAGAAAATACGGTTGAGTACATAATAAAATTCAGTATATATAATATATAGCTGTAAAGAAACCATAAGAAATGAATTTATAGTTATATGAGTGTTTTTAGCTTTTGGGGGAGGGTAATGCCCTACAGTTTTCTGGCATGTCCTCCATT